AGGCAGGCCGGCAGGTAGGCAGGCAGCCAGGCAGGCAGGCAGGCAGGCAGACAGGCAGGCAGGTAGGCAGGCAGGCAGGCAGGCAAGTAGACACGCAGGCAGACAGGCAGGCAGGCAGGCAGGCCGGCAGGCAGGCAGGCAGCCAGGCCGGCAGGCAGGCAGGCAGACAGGCAGGCCGTCAGGCAGGCAGGCAGGCGCTCACCAAAGGCTGGGAGAGCAGGGCCGGCGCTCGAGTAGGCGCACGACAGCGGCGACGTCGGGGCCGCAAAACCGGCTGCAGAGCAGGGCCGAAACAGCTGGAGGGCGCTGCCGCGTCAGCGGCAGTAGCAGGGTGGGGCCGCGTCAGCGGCAGGTCGGGGTCGTGGCAGCTGCAGGGCGGGGCCGCATCAGCGGCAGGTCGGGGCCATGGCAGCTGCTGGGCGGGGCCGCATCAGCGGCAGGTCGGGGCCGAGGCAAAGGGCCGCGCGCGGCCGCGCTAGGGAGTAGCGGGCCGCGCGCGGCTCGGCGCGGGCTGTTGCGGGCCGCGCGCGGGCCGTGCGAGGCAGGAGCAGGCCTCGCGCGGCTCGGCACGAGCTGCTGCGGGCCGCGCGCGGGCTGCGCGAGGCCGTAGCAGGCCGCGCGCGGCTCGACGCGGGCTGCGCGGGCTCGGCGCGGGCTGCGCGCGGCAGCTGCGAGCTGCGCGCGGCTCGGTGCGGGCTGCGCGCGGTTGCAGCGGGCTGTGCGCGGCTCGGTGCAGGCTGCGCGCGGCTGCAGCGGGCTGCGCGCGGCTCGGTGCGGGCTGCGCGTGGCTGCAGCGGGCTGCGCGCGACTCGGGGCGGGCTGCGCGATCTCGGTGCGGGCAGCGCGCGGTAGCAGCGTGTGTGCGGGCCCGACAGGCGTGTAGAGGCGGCGCGCGGGCCTTACGGGCCTCTAGGGGCAGCGCGCAGGCAAGGCAAGGCAAGGCAAGGCATACAAGGCAAGGCAAGGCTACGTGGGGTAGCGCGGTAACCGCAGCGGTAGGTGGGCCCGAAAAAAAAAAACGGTCCTACGGACCTTAGTGCTCTGAAACCATGTTAGAATCTAGCAGCAGGAATGGATGAACTAACAGGATGCAGGAGTACAAGTAGTAAACCCTAACTAGGTTGTACCCCATATGGGCAATATGCAGCACATATAGTTTGACAGATTCAAGGCAAGAGGTGAGCACAGGGTGCGCCCACGCACCAGCACATCCAATTGTAGCCAAACAGGGAAAGAGGTGACCACCCCACCCGTCCACCAACACACCAACACACCAATAACCAACCTAACCAGCCTAACCAGCCTAACCAGCCTAACCAACCTAACCAGCCTAACCAACCTAACCAACCTAACCAACCTAACCAGCCTAACCAACCTAACCAGCCTAACCAGCCTAACCAGCCTAACCAGCCTAACCAGCCTAACCAGCCTAACCAGCCTAACCAGCCTAACCAGCCTAACCAGCCTAACCAGCCTAACCAACCTAACCAACCTAACCAACCTAACCAGCCTAACCAACCTAACCAGCCTAATCAGCCTAACCAACCTAACCAACCGAACCAATCGAACCAGCCCAACCAGCCCAACCAACCCAACCAGCCCAACCAACCCAACCAACCCGACCAACCCAACCAACCTAACCACCCTAACCAACCTAACCACCCTAACCACCCTAACCAGACGAACCAGCCCAACCAACATGACCAGCCTAACCAGCTCGGCATAACCAACCCTGCCTAAGCAGCCCTACTTATGCAGCCCTGCATGCACAATGCCCCCATCTCACCTTGGCCAGGCGGTGTCGGGAGAGAGCCACGACCACAAAAATGCTGCGCGCATAACCCCTCACACATACACCCCTCACACATACACCCCTCACACATACACCCCTCACACATACACCCCTCACACATACACCCCTCACACATACACCCCTCACACATACACCCCTCACACATACACCCCTCACACATACACCCCTCACACATACACCCCTCACACATACACCCCTCACACAACCACCCCTCACACATACACCCCTCACACAATCACCCCTCACACATACACCCCTCACACATACACCCCTCACACAACCATCCCTCACACATACACCCCTCACAAAAACACCCCTCACACATGCACCCCTCACACATACTTCCCTCACAAAATCACCCCTCACACATGCACCCCTCACACAATCACCCCTCACACATGCACCCCTCACACACACTCCCCTCACACAATCACCCCTCACACATGCACCCCTCACACATACTCCCCTCACAAAATCACCCCTGGCACATACACCCCTCACAAAATCACAACTCGCATATGCACCCCTCACACAAACACCCCTCACACATACACCCTACCCTCACCACCACCTCTCCTTGCCCATCTCACCTTGGCGAGGCGTCGTCGTGAGAAAGCCACAACCTCGGGGCGAGCATCTGACAGCATATGGCGGCATCTGATTGGATGGACGAGCGGGAAGTGTCAACACCTCCTACAGGGACAGGACGGGAAATGGGTGGGGTGGGGGCATAGGGTGTTAAGAACATAAACATTGAGTTGAATAGTGCGTATGGGTGGGGAGAGCATCTCAATGAACTCCAAAGAACTGCACGCCCAAGTGATGATGCGAATTGAAACAAATGTCTCGCATGCAGGGTGTTTTTGAGAATTCTCAAAAACACCCTGCAGCATAATGTCTCGCATCATCACCCCCACACCCTCCTCTCCTGCGCCGTTCCTCCCGCCTTCCACCCCACCACCACCCCTTCTCCCCTCCCAAACACTCACCTGTCCCCTCCACTTAAGGTGCAAGCACCACACACCTGTGCACAATCGTAACAATCATGATAGCCCTTATCCATTCTCCCACCTCTCATCACCCCTCTCCCTCTCTCACCACTCCTCCTCCACGGCGCTCAGCTTGGGAAATTCAACCTGAGAGGCGCACCTGATGGGCGCACCTGATGGGCGCACCTGATGGGCGCACCTGATGGGCGCACCTGATGGGCGCACCTGATGGGCGCACCTGATGGGCGCACCTGATGGGCGCACCTGATGGGCGCACCTGATGGGCGCACCTGATGGGCGCACCTGGGGTGAGGAGGTAGAGGCCAAGGGGGCTGTCAGGAACATGAGATGGTCAAGGCAAGACGCATGCCACACAGCATGCTGCATGCCTCCACGCCAATGTAAGTGGTCAGCTTCTTGCCCTCTCTTCTCCTCCCTTCACCTGTCGTTCCTTCTCCTCCCCTTCCTTCCCCTCCCCTGCTTGCCCCTTCTCCCATCCAATCTCTCCGTCCTTTCTCCTCTCTGACATTCGCCTACCCACTCGTCTCCATCCACCTGCCTCTCCTCCACCCTCCCTTCACTCCCTGCCCCTCCTCCCGCCCGTCCTCACCCCTCCGCCAGCCCCGTCTCCCCTCCTCCGCCCTCCTGCTCCGTCCCCTGCTCCCCCTTCTCCCACCCCTCGCCTCATTTCCGCCAAATCCAAGCCACGCGCGCCTGTATCCTCACTTCCCCCTCCCCCCCCTGCGCCTCCCCTCCCCACTCCGCCTCCCCTTCCCCCTCCGCGCCGCCGCCCGTCGCCGCTGCCCTAATAAGCGCTTCCCGTTCCAGCGGCGTGCAAACTGATTTCCGTAAATTCTCGCGTAGGCGGCGGTACAGGCGCACGCAGCGGGAGCCAGGGAGACTCTGCTGTAGACTCTGCTGTTTCCGCCGCTCTCGCGTAGGCGGCGGTACAGGCGCGCGCAGCGGAGGCGCGCGCAGCGGGAATTACAGCGGTAGCGGTGATGGTGGCGCTGGTGGCAGGGGCGGTTAGGAAGAGATCCAGGCGGAGCGCGACCGGCAGGGGCTTCCACCGCCTCTCCGCTCCGCCGCTTCGGCCTGTGCTGCTCGCAGCAACTCTGCTGTTTCCGCCGCTCCCGCTGCCTCTGCTATTGGCGCCGCCAGGAGCCCGGGTGCTTGCCCCATCCGACATTTATGCTGCTCCTCGCGCTTCTGCCTTCGCTGCTTTCCGCCATCGCAAATGGGTTCTCCATTCTTTCTCTCTCTCTCTCCTTGTATACGGTCGCTTCCTCGTCGTCGGCAGTCACTGATTCGTCGTCGTCCGTCGCTCTCTAATAGCATGTCTGTCGTTTTGATGCGATGATTATTGAGCCAGTGACAGGTCACTTTTGCCCTTCCAGCTCTTGCTCGCACTCGCCTGCGCATGCGTGCTTGCCCCACACGCCATTGCCGCTGCTCCTCGCGCCTCTGCCGTTGCGGCCCTCTCCGCCATCGCGAATTTGTTCTTCTCACTCTCATTGTTTACAGTCGCTGCCTCGTCGCGGTCCGTCACAACTCTCGTCGCTCGTCGACGCGACCACTATCTAGCCACTATCTGACGTCAGTTGGTTATATGTCGTCGGATTTACACAATCAGGTGTGTTATCCAAGCACCTCATCCAATGCACATAAGATAATTCTCAAAGTCTACCACTTTCCCAGTATTTTCATAACCATTGCTCGTATAGAATGTTTATTTCTGTAGAGCAGAACTCCTTATTGAAATGACACAACGGGCTCAAAGGCATTCGTCGGGAAAATCTGGCGCATCGTGTCCGCGTCGCGCAAAGGCATTTGAATCGCAATGTGCGGTTCGATTTTTGCAATTTCGTTTCAATGCAAGCACCCCCTACACCTTCCTCCCCCGCCCCTTTCCCATCTCCCCCTTCCCTCCCAAGTCCATCATCACGACTGAATTCCACGTCGCTCTCCTCACCTCACCTCTTCCCACGTTCCAGACCTGTCCGAACAAGCAACCCCACCCCGCTGCTTTCGATTCGCACGCACATCCCCGTACATAATCCACCTCCTAACACCGACCAAAACTACTCCACCAGACTTACCTTATCACCAACCAGCGGCTAGACCTCACCGACCACCAGCTATAGTTACGTTATCACGATGTACGCGCCGGCTACGCAGATGTACCACGGGTCCTATAAATGCCAGGGCGTGAGGCTTCAGATGTATCAGACAAGACATATTACCCAGACTTGTTATAAATTCATTCCGCAATCTCCTTACAATCTCTTCCTCTCCACGGCACCACCCCCGTTGATCTTTGAGAATTCTCAAGAATCGCAGTCGCTGCAGCCATGAGGCGTTCCAAGGTTTTCTTCGCCCTGCTCGCGCTCTCGCTGCTCGTATCCCTCGCGCTGGCGCCGCAGTGCCGCGCGAATGAGATCGCCGCGGACAATGACGACGCCGACGATGACTTGGACGCCGCCATTTCCGCAGACGCGTCGCCTCCTGGTGCGTGTGGTACCACGTTGCGCTCGGAAACGCCATGCGCTCCCCTCCGACCCTCCCCTGCTTTGCCTTGATGTAACAGATCACACTGAACCTCAGACGCGACGTTTTTGATTGAATTCGTTCGTTCCATGCCTTCCCTGTTTCCAGGTCTCGTGGATGCGTTATACCGAGTGAGCCGGCGGTTCCTGTATTCGCCGCGCATGCTGTCGTGCCGGTCTGACTGCGAGGACAAGAACAAGAAGTGCAACACTGATTACAGCGAGTGCAAGCGCGAGAACAAGGACGACAAGCATGACCACCACAAGTGCACGCACACTTACAAGAAGTGCAAGAAGAAGATCAAGAAGTGCCGCCGCAAGTGCGACTAAGTAGAAGACACAGAAAGTTGCAACGACTAGGACACTGGTAGAAGTTTTTTATTGAAAGTATTATCTGCCCAACTGGGGATGTTCTAGCGGGTGATTTCGTTCCAACAGTAATCCCAGAGCTAAGCCATTGTCAGGAGTTTGTACCTCTTCACCACGTCTCACACTGAACACGCCTCTGCTGCCCAAGAGTACTCAAGCCCACACCACCAGGAGGTCGTGAGCACAGGAAAAACTTGACATACACACACACCCCAACTGTGATTATGAGCAGCACACACTCTAGCCGACCCTCCTATCCTGGACAATGCAGCTGATTCTAGCAGCAGGCTGCTGGCAGTAGCACATTAGGACAAAAATCATCAGCTTCTCCTGAGTTTCTCCGATAGCCCTTCTGGTTGACCCCCTGTGCGATACTTCTCCCCTGCATGGTGCCATAACACCACCCGTAGGTTACTGCCTGCTGCTCAGTCGCTCTGTATAACTCTGAACCCGTACGAACCGGTCCTGCATATGGCACAACTAGGATTCCTTATGCACAACAATGCTATTGCTGTATAGTGTATTATGTCGGCATGCTGTGTAAAGTATCACAGAGATGTCAAGCGAACAATCTTCTGTTATGTACGACATTGAAAGAGTAAAATCCTCTTCCCGCATTTATGCTGGCTTTGAGATAGCATGTAACAACAACAGCCAGCTTTCAATCGAACTACCTTGCTTTAGATCCTGGGAAAAGAATTGAAACAATCCTGTACTCCAAAACACCCGCAGCTACTGTAACCTGTACCAAACTGTACTAAATCGCATTTGGAAAACAACAATCACATCAGCACCACCACCACCAGCACCATCAGCACCAGCAGCCCCATGAAGCAGCAAAAGCGGCAGAAACAGCCTAGGAGCTGAGCTCCTTGGCGAGCTTCTCTGCCTTGGCCACCACCACCACCTCCTCGATGCCTCCCACCCTGTAGAACGCCTGTCCCTGCTCAGGGAGATCATCGTACTTGCCGTCCAACACACCCTGTGAGGGGGATAGGGTGGTGTAGGGGGTTGTGCGAGTGTGCAGAGAAGAGACAGGATAAGGGGAGAAGGGTAAACGGCCAGCCAGTAAACACCTCAGCCATGTAAACGGGCTGCCTCACAACCGTTCACATGAAAGTGAAATCAAGTGACAGCAGCAAGATTCGAACTCAAGACCTCAACCGCCACCCACCTCGAAGCTGGTGATGCTCTCATTCACATCGGCGTATTTGACCGCTGAGGCAATGAAGACCTCAGCCACGTGGAAGGGCTGGCTCAGGAAGCCATGCCCCCTGCTGCCACGCCCCTTCACATGACTGTGCAATCAAGTGACAGCAGCAGGAATTGAACCCGAGACCTCACCTGGAAGCAGGTTTGCCCGGCAAGCCAGTGAAGACCTCAGCCACATGGAATGGCTGGGTCAGGAAGCGCTGGATCTTGCGCGCACAGGCCACACCAGCTTGTCGTCCTCACTGAGCTCGTCCATTCCCAGAATGGCAATGATATCCTGAAATAGAAAGAGCAGAGAAGGATGGTATCAGTGGGGGCAGAGATGTGGAAGGGCTGGCTCAGGAAGTGCTGAACCATGCGAGCGCGGGCCACCACCAGCTTGTCGTCTTTGCTCAGCTCGTCCACTCCCAGAATGGCAATGATATCCTGAAATAGAAAGAGCAGAGAAGGATGGTATCAGTGGGGGCAGAGATGTGGAAGGGCTGGCTCAGGAAGTGCTGAACCATGCGAGCGCGGGCCACCACCAGCTTGTCGTCTTTGCTCAGCTCGTCCACTCCCAGAATGGCAATGATATCCTGAAATAGAAAGAGCAGAGAAGGATGGTATCAGTGGGGGCAGAGATGTGGAAGGGCTGGCTCAGGAAGTGCTGAACCATGCGAGCGCGGGCCACCACCAGCTTGTCGTCTTTGCTCAGCTCGTCCACTCCCAGAATGGCAATGATATCCTGAAATAGAAAGAGCAGAGAAGGATGGTATCAGTGGGGGCAGAGATGTGGAAGGGCTGGCTCAGGAAGTGCTGAACCATGCGAGCGCGGGCCACCACCAGCTTGTCGTCTTCGCTCAGCTCGTCCATTCCCAGAATGGCAATGATACCCTGAAATAGAAAGAGGAGTGGAGGAGATAATGTTACAAAAAGGATGGGAAATTTGCCCAAGGATGGGAAGTTTGCCCAAGGATGGGGGGCATAGAGTGCTCGTGAGGCATTTCATGCTCTATCAATAAAAACGCACTAAGGATGACTTGAGCCATAGCGTGGGAACAGTCTCTCCTGCAGCTTCTTGTAGTCCTGAAGCACCTCCTGCACGCCAAGAGTAGGTGGTGGAGGAACCCCTTCCAACCCCTTCCAACCCCTTCCGACCCCTTCCGACCCCTTCCGACCCCTTCCGACCCCTTCCAACCCCTTCCGACCCCTTCCGACCCCTTCCGAACCCTTCCGACCCCTTCCATCCCCTCCACATACCCCACTCACAGCAGGAAAGCGGTCAAACCTGCAGGTTCTTGTAGTGCTCCATGCCCAGGATAGACGGAGAGAGCATGCGCGAGGAGGAATCCAGAGGGCCCACCACAGCAGGGTAGATACCCAACTCGGAGATCTGCAGAGTGACTGGGTGGGGGAGGATGGGAGACAAAGGAAGGGTATTCTGTGCTCCATGCCCAGGACGGACGGGGAGAGCATGCGCGAGGAGGAGTCAAGGGGAACCACAGCGGGGTGGATACCCAACTCGGAGATGTGCAGTGGCAAGAAGCAGAGGGGGACAAAGGAATAGGAAAGAAAAATGAGTGCTCCATGCCCAGGATGGACGGGGAGAGCATGCGCTATGTGGAGCAGGGTGGATACCCAACTCGGAGATCTGCAGATTGTTTGAATTGTGGGCAAAGGGAAGGGAGAGGGAGCGAGTGGGAAAATGAGAGGGAGGGGGTGGGAAAATGAGAGGGAGCGTGGGAAGTTAAGAGGGTAGGAAGATGAGGGAGAGGGCGGAAGGTTGAGTGGGAGAGGGTGGATGGAAGGTTGAGTGGGAGAGGGCGGAAGGTTAAGTGGGAGAGGGTGGAAGATTGAGTGGGAGTGGGTGGAAGATGAGAGGGACGGAGTGGGACGACGAGAGGGAGGGAGTGGGACGAAGAGAGGGTGATGGTGGGAGGGTGGGAGGGTGTGAGAGCAGCTATGGCAAAGTGGACAAAAGTGGGACTGCAAGACCAAAGCGGGCGGAGAGACAGGCAAGTGGATGGCCTGCACTGACGTGACGAAGCCCTTCTTGGTGACGTGATTCCCTCCCTTTGAACCCCTCCCACCCTCCCGTCCAACCACCCAGCCACTAGAAGCTTACAGCACACACACTGGCTCACCTGACGAGACAGCACAGTGGTAGCGTCCAAATGCGCGAAGGTGGTAGCGTCCAAATGCGCGAAGGTGGTAGCGTCCAAATGCGCGACGGTGGTAGCGTCCAAATGCGCGACGGTGGTAGCGTCCAAATGCGCGACGGTGGTAGCGTCCAAATGCGCGACGGTGGTAGCGTCCAAATGCGCGACGGTGGTAGCAGGGGCGGGATCCGTGAGAGTATCAGCAGGCACGTAAATCGCCTGCACTGACGTGATGGAGCCCTTCTTGGGCCTCCTGTTCAGCCGCCCCTTCACATCCTTGACCTTTTCTCCCCACCTTTCCACGCTCAACAAAGACGATTTCTTTCCTCACCTGGCGAGACAGCACAGTGGTGGCGTGGCGTCCAGATGCGCGATCGTGGTAGCAGGAGCAGGATCCGTCAAGTCATCAGCAGGCACGTAGATGGCCTGCACTGACGTAATAGAACCCTTCTTGGAGGTGGGAATGAGTCTCACCGTCGCAACTCACCTGGCCTGCCATCAGCTCCCCCCACTGACCCTCGCAACCATTCCAACGCCACTTGCAGCGACATACAGCAATTCCAACCTGGGCAAAACTCAAGTTCCTTTGTCCTACCGTCGAGGCCGAGTGACTCGAGATCATCCTCCCCGCCCCCGGCCCCGACCACCGTCGTCACCGATTCTCACCTTGGCGATCTCCAGCTGTCAACTGCCCCCCGGCCCTGGCTGCTTCTCAACCACCCCCGATGGAGTCTGACCTGCCATTGACCTGCCATTGACCTGCCATTGACCTGCCACTGACCTGCCACTGACCTGCCACTGACCTGCCATTGACCTGCCACTGACCTGCCACTGACCTGCCACTGACCTGCCATTGACCTGCCATTGACCTGCCATTGACCTGCCATTGACCTGCCATTGACCTGCCATTGACCTGCCATTGACCTGCCATTGCCTGCCATTGTCCTGCCATGACCTGCCATTGACCTGCCACTGACCTGCCATTGACCTGCCACTGACCTGCCATTGACCTGCCACTGACCTGCCATTGACCTGCCACTGACCTGCCATTGGCTTGCCGATTGACCTGCCATTGACCTGCCACTGACCTGCCACTAACCTGCCATTGACCTGCAACTGACCTGCCATTGACCTGCCATTGACCTGCCATTGACCTGCCATTGACCTGCCATTGACCTGCCATTGACCTGCCATTGACCTGCCATTGACCTGCCATTGACCTGCCATTGACCTGCCACTGACCCGCAGGTTTCCCAGGTAGTCAGTGCGCATGGCAGGCCAATGGCAGGCCAATGGCAGGTCAATGGCAGGTCAATGGCAGGCCAATGGCAGGTCAATGGCAGGTCAGTGGCAGGTCAATGGCAGGTCAATGGCAGGTCAATGGCAGGTCAATGGCAGGTCAGTGGCAGGTCAATGGCAGGTCAATGGCAGGTCAATGGCAGGTCAATGGCAGGTCAATGGCAGGTCAGTGGCAGGTCAATGGCAGGTCAGTGGCAGGTCAATGGCAGGTCAGTGGCAGGTCAATGGCAGGTCAATGGCAGGTCAATGGCAGGTCAGTGGCAGGTCAATGGCAGGTCAATGGCAGGTCAATGGCAGGTCAATGGCAGGTCA